ATTCCTGACAGCCAGAATGGAAAAAACCTTCTAATATTGTGGGGCATCAGGTAGAATTATCCAGAGGATCACACCCTGGAAATGGGGTTTATTGAGCCCTAGAGTAAAGTCTTCTCCAATCTGCTCTAACAAAACTTAAAAGCAAATCTGGAAAGGATCAAAATGATCTCAGGTAACTACATGCCAGAAGAGGTCCAATGTTCCTTAAAGCAGCGGTTTTCAACCTTCCTAATGCAGCGACCCCTTAATACAGTTCCTCATGTTGTGGTGACCCCAACCATAAAATTATTTTCGTTGCTATTCTATAACTGTAATTTTTCCACTGTTAGGAATCGTAATGTAAATATCCTTTTGTTTTCCAATGGTCTTAAGTGACTCCTGTGAAAAGGTCGTTCGACCCCCAAAGGGGTCACAACCCACAGGTTGAGAACGGCTGCCTTAAAGGAATGCAAGAAAACCCAGCACTCACCAAAGTAAAAATCACATGCATTAGTTTTCTAGGGCTGTTGTAACAAATTACCACAAACTTGGTGTGGCTGAAGACAACAAGTTTGTTCTTTCACTGTTCTGGAGGCCAGAAGTCTGAAATTAAGCAAGGAGAATGCACAGGGAAGGAAAATGGTGTGGTCCAGATGCCACCTTAGCTGCAGGCTGGCACAGAGACATTTGTCAGCCATGATGGACCCAGCCAGTATGGTGCTGAAGGAGAAGGTGCTCAACCATATGAATTTATTCAACATAACTTTGCTTGTGAGTGACTTGGGGCCATTATGAATATTGGTTTTTGCATTGCGTTATACGCATAGGTAAAGTTGCAGAGAACATCTGCTGAACAACACTGGTTAATGTTCCTTCGGTACACTAGTTTCAAGAAACATTGAGAATTCTTCAGAGAGAACTATAATAGTGAAAAAAATCTCTCAGAAGATGCTACAAAGAGAATTCACCTAAATGTCTTATAGCAGCCTGGCATACTGCTTAAACCAAGAAACAGTATCTGTGAAGCACTGCTGAGGACTGAAAAAAAAAAAAAAAGTACTTCCACCATGATTGTGTGCAAGCAACTCGGCAAGCTTCGAGAAAGAGAAGGAACTCTGTTTCAAATATGTGAATACTGGTCAAAAATTTGACCAAGTGGATTTTATGAAACACCTCACTTCCAAGACTTGTCATTACCAACATGGGTGCACATCAACTCATGTTTTTAAACTTCTATTGCAGAAAGGTTTCATAGCTGCTTGATAAACTCAAGATTTGGATCCTGTTGCTGAAGATAGTGTCATACCTACTGCCATACCATATTGCCAGCCCACTGCGTGCAAGGAATGATATTATACGTCATAGAGGATACTCATCAAGAGAATGGTCAAGACAGATTTTCTATGACAAGACCTAGCAGAATAAGAAGAAAATAGAAGTAGTATTAATTCAAAACAAACCCCTTGGTGGGATTGTCTCACAGCTTTTTTTTTTTTTTTTTTTGTGGTGCTTCATTTTATCCTAGAGCAGTGAGATAAGTCTAATTGGAGATTGGGAAGACATGATTTCTGCAGAATCCACTTCCAAATTAAAACAAGCAAAGAAGCTTATTGTATATACAGCGATGCTCAGAAGAGAGTAAGTGGTCTTCAGATGAGAAGATAAGAACATCCTGGATAAAAATACACACTGCTTGGAACCCAAGTAGATTCTCATGAGCCACGTGACTTTTTGTCGTGTGCCTCCAGGATGATGAGCGAATGGTCAGAACACCACTGCCAGAGCGTGGACTGTTGGCATGTGAAACACACTGATTGCTCATTCTATATCAATTTTTCACTTATATGTCATTGTATGATGGTGACATGCTCCAAAGACTGTTGTTTTGGGGCATGTACCCTCTCCAGCCATCACCCTCCTAAGGATGTTGGTTGTGGAGTTTGGTGACAAGGACGTTGTTTCTACATCAGGAGGTAACGTTATAATAATGTGGTACACAGCACTGTAAGCTGATAAGGACCTAAAATGGATACAAGTGAGGCATTGCCCATACGCAGTACCAAGATGGGCTGGTCATGAGTGATTCATCTGACACTACCAGGCTCTGGGACTCTTAGTCTGCCAGGGCTGCCGTAACTAAATACCATAGAATAGGTGGCTTAAGCCACAGAAATGTTGTTCATTCAGTTCTAAAGGCTGGAAGTTCAAGATCAAGTTGCTGACAAAGCCGGTTTCTCCTGAGGCCACTCTCCTTGGCTTGCAGATAGCTGCCTTTTCACTGTCCCCTCACATGGCCTTTTTGTCTGTGCACCTGTGCTCCTGGTATCTCTTCTTTTTTATATAAGGACACCAGTCCTATTGGATTAGGGCCCCACCCATAGGACCTCATTTAACCTTAATTACCTCCTTAAAGGTCCTATCTTCAAATACAGTCACAATGGTAATTAGGGCTTCAATTTATGAATTTTGTGGGACACACACAATTCAGTCCATAACAGGGACACAGGGTAGGGTACGTGTTTAACCGTGTGAAACTAGTGTGCTGTGTTTGATTGTATAATGAGGATAATCAGTAGGTACTTTAACAGGAACATTGAAATGTAGACCCTTAAAGGCCTTTTGGACCCAGTACCTTTGAAGGGACTGTTTTATCAGCAGACCTGGTAGAAAATTCAGGAGATTTTCTGACTCCAGCTTGATGGATTCCACATTGTCAGTACTCTACATGAGGATATCAGACGTGGCTCTTCCTAAATGACCCTGTTGCCTAAGCTGAATCTCTTCTGCTTCCCAGCAGCCACCTCTGACTCCAGATACATAAGCATGTACTGACCTCATTCTAGCTTAAAATCATCCAAGTTGTGCTGTCCCAGTGTGCCAGAGCCAGGATGAGGAACAACGGGGGGAAAACCCCAGTTTTCTGGTACTGGATTTCTTCATGAAGGGAACACAGTGGGCCTGCAGGTGACCAAGGACAGTAGGTCTCAGCACAGCCAACTGCTTAAGTTATTACTGTCCAAAAATGTGTCTTATCTTTCATGAGTGATTGGGATTTCCTGTCCCTCCTTCTTTCCTCTCGGCTGCTGCTCCCCCATGTTTGATTCTAGATAAATATGGCCTATAAATGTATTTAGTTTTTTAAAAACTGGAGGAAAAATTGAGCTCTGATTCTCCCACTTACTAGTTTGCTTGACGTTAGGCAAGTCATTAAATTTCTCTGTACATCAAATTTCTCATTTATAAAGTTGAAATAGGAGCATATGCCCTCACAGGACTGTCATAAAGATGGAGTAAGATAACTCACATAAGCAGCTAGCATGGTACCTAGACCAGGGCAGGCACTCAGAGCACTTTGATTAGCTTTCCTCTTCTGTGTTAGTGCCAAATGGAAGAATAAAGGAGAAGAGGTTTGGAGAAGGAAAAATGAAGGGAAAAGTTAAAAGTTCCACTTTGACATCGTGATTTGGCATCAATATACTAACAATTATAAAAGATTTGTAAACTGTAAAAAACATCCTGCATAGCGTGTTGTAAATTAGACCGTGCTAAGTGTTATAATAGGAATTGCATTTGTACTGTTCGAAAAAAATTATCACTGCCATTATACCATATAATGACAACAGTTAATTCCAGATTTATCCATTAAAATCTCCTGCTTAATGTGTTAATAAGTGTTGTGTTGTCGATTAACTGAAAGCTACCACAAGGAGTCTTGTGAACTGTTATGGAATCCTCTGCTTAAAACTCTCCTGTCTTCCTATGGCCCTTATCTTGAGGCTGAGCTCTTTCATCAAGAATGACCTGACCACTTCTTTCTTCTGTAGCCTCAACTTCCCCCATCCTCCTGTCTGTGCTCCTGCCTCTCATCCTGAGCTCCCACCATGTTGAACTCTTTGGGGGTTTTCTCTTTTCTGGACTCTCACACATGCAGTCCAGTCTGCCTGAAACACACTTCCATGTCTTCAAGTGACTCATTCCTGACTATTCTCCTGGAAAGCCTAAATGAGGTACCCCTGGAGGTCATCCTGTTTATCTCTGTATGTTTAGCCCCCAGCATAAACCAGCCATATTAGAAATTCAGTAAATATATTTGTTTAGTGAATGAATTAGTATTACACCTAAATGCAGAGGATTATAATAATTTTCCATTACACATGTAGTTGTATAACCTGTAAATTTTCAAATCCCATTTAAATAGAAAAAAAACTAGCTTATTCTTTAGAATTCATATTATGTCCCAATTTATACAATGCATCGCATCTAAAATGGGTTGATACCTGCTTCCTTCTTATAACTGCTGTAAGGGATTTGTAAATGCCTCTGTGGCCATTCATTTTGATTTGGGTTTTTCAAAAGAAAAAAAATCAAATATAGTGACTACTGTAACAACACAGAGAACGGATTCTCATAGAAAGGCTTTTCCTCTTAAATTTCTCTCAGTAAAAATAAGCTTATCAGAGTATTTTCAAAGGTAGTCAGAAGATTTAGATTGTTGATGAATTTCCCTACAAACACATGTTTTTGATGTTTTCTGTCTCAACAAGAGACATTAACAATATGCCAAGTGATCACAATGCACTTATGTAATTGGGTTGTTCCATTGAGTTTTTCCTTTCTGTTGACATTCTGAAGAATTTCTTTTCAGATGTATCTGCTTAGCACTGAGAACGGAATCTAAAGGTAGTATAAAACAATTCTAAGAAAGTGAATGGTGTGTGATCTTTTTTTTATTTGCTTCACAAGTAATTTACTTAAAAAAAAACATTAACATCTGCTATTTTGAAGCTAATCTTAGTGTATTGAATGCTCTTAACCATTTCTCAATCCCGCAGCCTTTTATCTTGCTTCTCCTGCTGTGTTCCCACCACCCCTGATCCCCTTAGCAAACCTTGAGACCGCCTCAGACTTGACCAAAGTACTGCTTTGGTTTCAGCTGCTCTTCTGCAAGAGGAAGTGAATGGTGGGGGTTTTCTCTGTGGTACAGTTGTGATAAAGCTGTGGTGGTCTTATCTCTCTCTTAGGTAGTGGCTCTTTATGACTACACAGCAAATCGATCAGATGAACTAACCATCCATCGCGGAGACATTATCGGAGTGTTTTTCAAAGATAATGAAGACTGGTGGTATGGCAGCTTAGGAAAGGGACAGGAAGGTTATTTTCCAGCTAATCATGTGGCTAGTGAAAGTAAGTTTTATGCTCCCTTCCTGGTTTACTAATATGGTATAACTGATAGTACAAGATTTTAATCATTTTTTACCCTTTAATTTACTGTCTTTGTAACTTCTGCATGTTTACCAATGGGTATGGCTTTTCATTCTTATGATGCAAAAAAAGGGGGGGGGGAGGCACTAGCGTACTATGAAGTTATTAAATTCTGTAATGTGTGCTTCACGGACTCCTCATCCCAGGGGACCTGCCCATCTAGCTGTCAGGGTTTTTGTGCAGCCCCTTTCCCCCGCCGCCTACTTCACCCATGATTCTGGCAGCTCTTCTCTTGCTGCAGTGACTCCTCAGTTGACAGGCACATTGAGAACCTCTAGTTCCCCAACTTCCCTTCTTTTATTTTTTATACTTTAGTCCTAGCTGTTACTTGTTACCTACCTGTAGTAGATTATTTCATTCTCAAGTCAAGTAAGCCCTCCTTTGTGAAAGGAAAAAGAAAGAAGCTGGTGAAGGAATTAATTCTAAATACAATTTTGTGACAGCTGTGGATTTACTACTAGCTGTAGATTTCACCTTGAGAGGTGACAGTTGAACACAGAGGCCTGAAAATAACATGAAGACTATTTAGAAAGGGTAGAAATATAGTAATGCTTTTTCAGAAGAATGCCTCCTATCAGCAATTAACTTCATAGTGTGGTAGGAAAAGCACAATTCTCAGGTCAGGAGAACTGATTTCTAATCTAGCTCAGCAACTATTACTGATATGCCTCAGTTTCCTCCTATAAAATGAGGAAGTTGAGCTCTGTCATCTCGACGTTTTCTTCCAGAAATACTAAAATCCTATAGTTCTGATTTAAAATGTAGTATAGGCAACCTTGACAACATTCTGTTTTAAATATGTATTGTTTTCTGTTTCCGCAAAAAAAAAAAAAATTATTATTATAAATAATAGTTGCTTTTCAGGCTAGTCTATGAAACCCCATTTAACCCAAACTATGGCTGAAAAAAAGTACTATTGATTCCTAACCCAAGTTCTGAATTTTGAGAGCAAAAGAGAGGAAGGAGGAAGAAGAATTCCTTCCATGATCACTGGGTTTTGGCTTCAGCCCAGATAAAATTTCTCTTTGAAACCCTCCCACTGCCCTGTCTGCACCCTGGTACTTCACAGCCTTCCTCCCCCATCTCTCAAGCACTCTCGGTCTTACTGCAGCTCCTGCAACGCGTCTGCTTTCAGCAAACTCCTCCCCTCTCAAGTGCTAGGTGTCTCAAAAACTACCCACTTCTCTCACAACAAAAATTTGAAGTTCCTCTGCACCACTTTTTTAATTCTCGTTCTCTGAGTACTAATTGACTGATAACTCTTAAACTCTATCTGGGGTATATTTTTATGTTTAAAAGAAGATACATAATGGAGAAAATTTAAGGCAACGTGGAAGGAAGAAATTTTAGGACATTTTAATACCCAGTCACTTCCCCAAAAGCTCAGCACTTCTAACATCCAGGTTGTCTGAAATGCCCAAGTTCCTTCCCTCCCCTTCCCAGTGATGGCTGTCCCATGGGATTAACTGCTGGAGCTCAGCAGGGGCAGCTTCTATGTTTAATGAAGAGCTGCCAGCATAATCATAGTCGCTTTGGAATATAGCTGTCATTTTAACTAGATATAGAAACCATTCATTGTTTTTTCCAGATACAAATGACAACATTTAAAAATTTTTTAACTTGACAATATAAAACATTGTGTATTTCCAGGCAGAATGGTATTATGGTAGGTGCTTTAACTTCAGAATCTAGTTTGTAGAAATAACCTCTAAGGCTTGCAATTCTTGAGAGGCTTTAGATATTTGTTCTACAGTGGGTTAAAATCCAATAAAGTTTTTCATCCATAATAACCAAAATGAGACTTGTGAAGCATACTGTAATGATGGTTAGTGGCTATATGCCGAAAGTAATGCTCTCAGGTATTGACCATTCTTCAGTTGCTGTAATTCCTTATCGTATCCCAGAATAATTGATGTTTTCTTTTGGCATCAGTTATTGCTTGTGGGAAAAGCGTAATAAAGGCCAGACAAATGGAAAAATTCCTCAGACAACCTGAGACTATCATGACTGAATTTTCACTTCATCAGAGATTATTTTCCTTTCAACTTTATCATACTTTTTGCCTGAATTTAAAAAAACCTCTCCTGCTCGGTTTTAACCTTAGAGAAAAAATTACTGTCAGCAGCATATTTCACTCTAAAAATAGAAGAAGAAATTGTCCTTTATCCAAAACCAAAATTGCAAAACAAATAATCTAAGGGACGTATATATATGAACAGAAGCTGTACTGACTATTTAATTGAGAGCCAAGAAAACAACATAATAGAAGACCTTGCTAGCCCATTATTATAAAGGATTTTTTCCGTTTGTATCTTGAGCCACTAGAAAGGTAAATATGATCAGCTTCCCTTAATCATGTCTAACATCCTTTCGAATAAAAGATAAAGAATCCCAATAGTAAAATCAACTCATACACAAAGCCAGTTAATACATTTCATAATCTTAGAATTTTGATCAGATATATTTTAGCCATTTCTCTCAATTGAGAGTTGCCCAAGTCATTTAACCTGAATAGGTTTTTTTTTGTTTTTTTTTTAGTCCTTTAAAATTCCCATCCGACTTTTTAGACTCAGCACTGTGTGTGGATTGGATTATATAGGTTATAATCTTAGAGTATGAGAATCTTAGATTCAGCACTATTATGTAGATTACTGTATTTCCCATGTATAAGACGCACCCTTTTTCGAAAAATTTGGGGTCTAAAAACTGGATGTGTCTTATACAGTGGTTGTAGATTTTTTTTTTTCCAGCCTACGCGTTCGCTGGTGATTCATGGCAGCCTAGCTCCAGGTTGAGCTGCTGTTCAGCATCTTAGCTGTAGAGGGCAGTGTCACTGGCCCTCATATGTGGGATCTGAACTGGGGCCCTCTGGTGTCCCAAACCAGTTCTTAACCATCGCACCACTTGGCTGGCCCGGTTGTAGATTTTTTTTAGTTGTGTTTCCCGCAAGTGATGAGGAGTTGTATGAATTTTATGATGAATAAAACTTGAGTCAATAACTTTATGTAATACATTTTTTTTCAAATTTCGGGCCCCAAAATTAAGGCGCGTCTTATACATGGGAGCGTCTTATACATGGGGAAATACGGTAAGTATCATGTGGAGTCCGCGTATTTATTTCATATCATCTTCCCAAGTTATCCTTTTTCCACACCTCTGCCTGGCAAAATCCTACATATTCTTCAGAATCTGACACACCTACCGCTTATTCCGTTAGGCATTTGTCATCCCCACATCGGACTTTGTCATTTTCTCTCTTTGGATTAATGTCACATTCTATTTTATGCTACTTACCTGTGAACAGATCTGTCTCTGACCAGACTGTAAGCTCCTTGAGAGCAGACTGTTTTGGTCATCTTTATATCTCCTCCAGCAGTACCTGTCAGATACCCATGCTTAGAGCAGGTTCCTGGTAAATGTTTTCAGATAAAATGATATAAGCATCTGTATGACCACATAGTAAAAGAAAATGGCACCTTCTACATTTCTGAAATCCTGCGTTTCAAAACTTTCCAATCAGAAGTTATGTTCTTTTGAAAATTAATGTGTAAGACTACAAATCGCCTTGACAGCAAGTCCTGGGTAGCTTATTGTTAAACCAAGGAAGTGAATATCAGTTTCTTTAGTTTCATCTGCCCCTCCCCCATCGTTGTCATTTTTTTCCCCATGGAACAGTGCTCCTCAATTTGATTACTTGGATTTCTTTTTCAATTCCAGCACTGTATCAAGAGCTGCCTCCACAGGTAAAGGAGCGATCCCCTCCTTTATCCCCCAAGGAAAAATCCAAAAGGGGAAAGCCGTCATCTTTTAAAAAGGTAAATGTTTTTAAGAATACGTATAGCATATGTATGATTTTGCACTCTCTCGATAAAATATTGCTCTATTTTTCATGCTTATATCCTTCATTGTTTACATTATTTCTTCTACTATTGGCACCAACATTATGAAATATATAAGGCAAATATTATTATAGCCATTTTCCAGATAAGGAAACCGAGGAGGCTCAGAGAGATAGTAAAGTAGACCCTAAGTCACAGCCCAAGTAACGGGACAAGAACCCAAAGTAGGACTCGTGACTTTAAGTGTGATGCTATTTCCGCCCTACACTTGTTTCTAAAACTGTGATACTGACACTGTCATCAGCCCCACCTAAAGGGTTCACACATGTGCTGAAGATCACTAGAGCTCACATAATAAAGATGTTCTAGCTCCCTGTAGCATTCCTTTTACTTGCTAGTAATTTTAAATGTTTTTAGGTTAAAATGAATATGGATATATTCCTCCAGAGGAATGCCATGTTTTGAAGCCTTTGTGTTCAGGTCCCTCAGTCAGTATTCTTCTGCGATTAGTAGTACTTTGATAGAAAAGTTTAATAAGCAATGTGCCACCATATATATTACTTATTAAACTTATTTCATTCTTTGACATTAGCTTTTACCTAAGACTGAATAACTCCACTTCTTCTTGACTCCATGACCTGGAGTGTAGACTGACAGTTGAACCTGTCCTGTATTGTTCTGTCTGTATTTATGGAGTGCTTCCTTCTATGCTGAGTGCTCCATTCATCCTCATGGAAACAAGACTGAGTAGACAACGCACTTGCCCTTGAACTAACAGGCTGGTGGGCAAGACGCTTGCAAGTAGGCCATCCCAGCGGACTGTGGTAGAACTGTTAGAACATAATGAAGATAATGTGCAGTGTACTGGGGACACACAGGAAGAAACCCTTCAGATCTGCAGGGGGAGTCCAGGAAGGTTCCCTAGAGGAGCTCATGCGTCAGCTGGGGCTGGTAGGATGAAAAAAGATGTGCTAGGTAGATAGTCTTACAGAAAACATTCTAGCAGAAGGAATAACTAGAGTAAGCTGTGGTGCAGTGTGGTTATGTTCAGAGAGCACAGAGCCTAATAGAGAGAAGGGCAGGAGAAATGCAGGAGTCAGGCCACGGAGTACGCTGATCAGATGCTTAGATAGTAGTACCCTTCAGACAAATGGGATCCCTGGAGGAGGTAACCCAGGGAGTGACATGTATAGATTTTCATGTTAAAAATACCTTTCTCGTGGCAGTATTGTGGTTGGATTATAAGCAGCTAAGACCTGGGACAGGGAAATTAGTTAGGAATCCATCAGAATAAAATATGAAATCCTGGCGGGGCGGGGGGGTAAATATATATAGTCTTCGGAAAAGTCATGACACATGTTTGCGACAGATGGCACTAGTTCATTTTTGGAAGTATTAGAGTCATTCGCATCTATGTTACTGCTATGTCATTTGACAGCTGACAGTTCTAGCTTCATTATTAAAAAATTGAGCAATTTGGTTGAGTTTTGGAGAGTTTACAACAAGTTGAAGATAGAAGACCAAACTGTGCATTTTTGCCATATTTTACTTGTTTTACTTCCATAAAGGGAAGAACGCGCATCAAGCTTGTGAAAAGTTGCGTAAAGTTTACGGTGACAATGCTCTACAAGAATGTGAGTGCCAACGATGGTTCACTAAATTCCGTGCTGGTGATTTTTTATCTCAACGACGCTCCTCGGTCAGGGAGGCCCACCGAGGCTGATGATGACAAAAAAAGGCATTGATCGAGTCAAACCCACATTATACGACACAAGAGATTACAGAAACATTGAACATCTATCATTCAAGCGTTCATGACGACCTGAAGAAGCTGGGATACGTAAGCAAGCTCGATATTTGGGTTTTGCATAAACTCAAAGAAGTTTTTGACGGTGCGTATAAACATCTGCAATATGCTCATTAAACGTGAGAAAAACGATCCTTTTTTGAAGCGACTGATAACTGGTGATGAGAAGTGGATTGTTTACAACAATGTGGTGCGCAAATGGTCTTGGTCCCAACGTGATAATTCGCCTCAAACGACATCGAAAGCAGACATTCATCAGAGGAAGGTTATGCTCTCAATGTGGTGGGATTTTAAAGGTGTCGTGTTTTTCGAGCTCCTACCAAGGAACCAAACAATCAATTTGAATGTGTATTGTCAGCAATTGGACATTTTGAACGAATCCATCATCAAGAAATGTCCAGAGCTTGTTAATTGTAAAGTAGTTGTGTTCCATTGCGACAATGCGAGACCACACATGTTTGATCACCCGTCAAAAATTACTGGAGCTTGGATGGGATGTGTTGCCACACCCACCATACTCGCCTGACCTTGCACCATCAGACTTCCACTTGTTTTGCTCTCTTCAAAACTCTTTGCGTGGTATAACGTTCAATTCAGATGAGGCTGTAAATGAACAATGAACACCTTGTTCATTTTTTCGCAAATAAAGACTGGTCCTTCTATGAACAAGGAATTATGAAGCTCACTGAAAGATGACAAAAAGTTATCGAACAAAATGGGCAATATATCATTGATTGATCTTTGTTCTTTATATAAATAAATGACCTTTGAAAAAGAGACAAAATACGTCATGACTTTTCCGAAGACCCAATATATATATGAAATCCTGATCTAGTGGGGATGGAGGGATGGGGTATAACTGACAGGATTTTGTGATTGATTGGATGTGATTAGCAATGTTAGAATCTAGGAATTGTGCTAAGGGCCCTTGGTTATTATATAACTGAATGGATAGATACTACAGAAATAATAAAAGAATAAGAAAAATTTGGGGTGATAGAGACGAGGAGTGGTAGGGAGTAGGATGTCATGAGTTAAGTTTTAGATATTTTGATTTGTTAGCAGTGTCCTAATGTTCCCCAGGTAGAAATATTCACAGGGAAGCCAGAAATAAAGAATTGAAATTTGAGAGAAGGTAGGGATTCAAAATAAAAGGAGGAGGAGTTAGTGTATTTATGGTATTATATCAGTAGAGTTGAACCTTGTACTGAAGGAGATAACCCAGAACAAATAGTGTAGAGTTCTGAGAGAAGAAAGCCAAAGACAGAATCGCATTTAAACACTAGTGTTTAAGGGACAGCCAAAGGAAGGGAAGATTAAGAAAGAATAATTGAAAGGACAAGAAAGAACCAGAAAAAAGAAGTGCCCTGGAAGCCAGGGAAAAGAGAGGCTCAAGGAGGGTATAGTCAGTAGTGTCAGAAACGGCCTATTAATTAGGTTATCTGAGCACTTGGTGATCAGGAGGACCCTGGCACCTTTACACTAGTCTAAAGGGTTGATAATAGTATGACAAGGATTGATAAGAGTAGAACGGGGCCTCAGCAAGTGAACTCATGGAAGTCATTCCCAGAGCTCTACTTGAAGAAAAAAAACAAGGCCAAGCACTGGCTAGAGGGACACCAGGCTCCAGGAATGACTTTTTAAACATTGTGACTTATAAAATTATATACTAAGACAAAGCCAATGCACAGGTTCAGGTTGAAGGTAAGGAAAGAACATGTGGGTTTTGGAGGAAGCAAGAGGTTTTTATTGGGAAGACAGGTTGATGGATTAGTCTTGGCTTAGAACAGGGCTTCTCAACTAAGGGTGATTTTGCCTCCCAGGAGACATTTGGCAATATCTGGAGATATTTTTGCAAATATCTGCAAGGAGGGAGACACTGCTATCATCTAGTGGGTAGAGGTCACAGATGTTGCTAAGCATTCTAGAATGCACAGGACAGCCCACCTCAACAAAAGATCATCTTGCCAAAAATGTCAGCAGTGCTGAGCTTACATCAGTACCCCTCTGAGACAGATAAATATGAATGAGGATGCAGATAAGTTAATAGAATATAAGTCTAGAAATTAAGGATATCTTTATGTTCTCAAAAACAGGAAGATCCACTTCAAATATGAGGGCCAACGGTGTGAGATAGGAAGAATAGTGACCATTAGAATACCTGTAAGGACAGTAGGAGCAGGAGTTCATTTGGAACATATAAAGAGGCTCCTGAGTGGTTCTGGGAGCTGCTGTTTGGATGCCATAAAATTGTAGGGGGCGTAGTTCTGTGTAGTTGAGTTTTTTCTTCAATAACACTCAACATGTAGGACAAAGCGGTGGAGAAGGCAGATTTGGTTTGATGCATAATTAGAGTGGACTGTACGATAGAGGCCAGGAGGATAAAAGACTTGGTAACAGTGGCCAGAGAGTCCCTGGAGCAGCCCACCATAGAAAATCATAGAAAATCGGCCAGATTGGAAAGGACATGGAATCAGGAGAAGACTGGCTGACTTAGAAATCAAGGTTCTCTCCACCCATGCCCAGGTGGAGGCATAGTGTCATGCAGAAAAGGAGTTAACAAACTGGAGCTATGGCCTGTATATCAAGAAACTTGCTTAATTAGTATTTCAGATGTTTAGCATCTTGAGGTTATGAGAAACTCACAGAGTTATATATACAAGAGCTAAAGTGAAATTGAAGGACCTGCTATTAGAATTGAGCTGAGCCGAGGAACTAGGGCTGAGTTATTGGACAGGTTGTTCTCTTGGACATTAAAATTCCAGAATGATTGCAAGAGGTGGGGCAAAGGGCCCCTGAACCAAGAGCTGAAGTCCTTAATTCTTGTGGTGGAGCAGACATCTCAGCCTTAGCTTCACATTGAAATCACCTAAGAAATTTAAAAAATATATACTGATACTTGCCTCTACACCCACAAATTGATTTAATTGGTCTGGAATGGGACGTCAGCACGGGTAGATTGCAAAAGCTTTCCAGGTGATTTTAATGTGCAGCCAACATGGAGAACCATTGTTCTTAATGAGTGACCACAATCTGTGCTCTGAAAGTATAATAGCCTAAAGTCAGCAACAGAGAGCTAAGAGGCCAGTGGTAACTCCAGGCCCCATGTGAATTATGTGAGAATGAACAGCCTATCCTGCAAAGAACTGAAAGAAAAAGGGTTTCTCAA